GTCACATAAAGGTCAATAAGTGCACAATCCACTCGAAAGTGAAACTATTCATAAATAGTTATGTTTTTACCATGTAAAAGTTTTCCTGTCACAACATAAATTACATGTGCCAACTATATTCACATCCATGTATCAATATAAACTCTTCTGGTTATTTTAAGGGGTCATATGTGTTCCCCATATCAATACATGCTTAGATATGGTCCATACTGTGTCTGAAACCTGGTATATTCAAAACTGTGTTGGACACTGGAATGCGATGCAAGATAAATTTGTAAAGTTTATTTGTACTTTCAGCTGTTAGGAAACATCATTAAACTTCACATATCCTGGGACACAAGAAAAAGAATAAAACAGATAAATTTCACCCATGGTCCTTTCGTAATCATGCATGATTAAAATGCAAGCCCGTTCTGAGTTGTGACATACCCAGTTATGTACATAACGCTATGTGTTCTGATGTACAGTTATAAATACTCCTCTTCATTATCATGACTATCATCATCATCATCATCAGTGTCGACGTTTAGGCGAACAACATTTGTGCAACTTGAACCTTTGCACTGGCCGCACACATCAGAGCACTCGAGGTTGTGCTTCCTGCACGTGCACCTCATGGTGCTACAGTCACTGGCACAGTTGCACCTCATGACATGCAGCAGGGTCTCAGGTACTGGCGGTAAGGCTGTCATCACAGGAACAACACGACCTTCGTACAGTGTCCATCCCCACTCTTCTGCTTCAATATTGTCATCAGTGCCCTTCCACTGCTGGACCTGCAGGTATACACGCAGGCTGTGGTGTCGTGCAGAAGCTGATGTGGGAGGTAAACTCTGTGGCTCGACATGTGATGACTTTGTGGCCACCTTCTCACAGAAGCGCTTGTAACGGAGGGAATCAAGTGTTTTACTGGGCTTTCCACCATACAGACAAACTAGTGCCTTTTCCCCAGCCACTGCAATGTCATCTTTCGAAGCAGAAACATTGTTAAACACGTTTGCCTGCTCACGAAACAGCCAGCTTGTGGTGAACTTCTTCAGTGAGGCGCCTTTACCGATCCCATAAAGACGGGAGGTCGTATCACAGCCCAGCACCGCGTGGATAAACAAGATATTGCTGCAAACCTCTTGCCCCAACTGACCCTTCATCATTTTCACATTCCATGTGCGATGCTTCTTGGTATTGGCCCTGGGCTCCGGCTGGAAGAAGAGGTCATTGGCGTCACAGTTGGCGTGATAACACAATAAGACCAGCAGATCCGTGTCATCGCCTACCAGTACGGTGGTTCTCTCACTTGCAGATCTGACTGCTGTCTGCACTATAAGCAGGTCTGCGTCGGCATCTGCATGAAGGGTTTGGCAGTTTCTCTCCCTGAGACATGCACTCAACATGTTTATGAAGCGCTGTTTGTTTCGAGGGTTGGCCAGAAAGTGGTCTTTCTTCATTGTGTTCTTCATGTCATCTGTGAATGTTACAGTGGCACCCATCTTACCTCCAGCACGCCTCTGCTGAGTCATGTTCTTTGTAGAGGTGCTGTTGTAGCCATCAAAGACGACAGTTGCTTCACCAAATTTGCGCGTAACATAGTCACAGTATAGAACACAAAGGTCCTCGTGGCCAAGGAACACGATGGATGAGTGCACCACCATCGAGTACATAGCAGACGTCTCCTGATGGACTTGTGGCACTGGCGGGCAGCATTTTCCATATAGCATCAGCCAACAGGGGCTTCTATGGTTCTCGCAGCATGAGTGGGGAGTCAAATAATGCTGGTGGGTAACAACAAAGTTCGTACTGGAACATTGCCTCCATATTGTCTGTTGATTTGCAGGCAATGATCAGACGCTGGAACAGGAGCTGTGGATCCACCTGAACTTGTTCCCCATCAATTTGAACTGATGAGCTTTTTCCTAGGGTGATGGCTTGTTCACTTTTTCTGAACGTGTATGTCATCATAGACTGTCCTGTCATGGATCCCAAAACCTTGTGGCCAATGTCTCTGGCATTCTCTACGTTCACGGACCTATCTGCATGGACACCAGTCATGATGTTCTGGAGGCCAGTATTTGGTGTGAAGGGATTTCTGTCTTTCATTGTAGCGAGTGCGGTGTGGGTATCCTTCATGTCCCGTAACTGTCGAGACTTTGACAGTTCTTTGTTCTGGTCACCAGTGTTGTACTGAACACCAGTGAGCTCCTGCAGTGCCCGATTTACTTCTCCACAGGCAGGCATTGACAGCAACCATGTCAGTCTTTGTCGCTCCGTCATGCCACGGCCCCTTGTAAGCCCACCGCTAGTTTTCATACTCCTCATCAGCACTTGTTCTATTACAAGGTCAGTTGACAGACCTGCCCACATTCGTGCTGAAAAAGTCTTTCAAAATTATCATTATAAGATCGACAACATAGTTTAGGCCCATCTGGAACACTAAGTAGGAATGTAAAATATATAACCCCATACTGCATGTCCATATGCAAATATATGCAAATTAGGCAGTCATGTTCTATTCGATCGCACCTTCAGTTATATAAAGTCATATTTATCATATCAAGGAAAAACACAATCTGCAATGTATCCTGACATGATGTCCATTTGTGAACAACAAAAACTGATATGATGACCACTTTACAAATCGTCAATTCCAACACATTCACGCATGCACACGCAAACACATACATAATATTGGAAAAAGCATCAGTATGACAGTGACATGTTCTATTCACGCGGCGGAAAGACTGTGATGTACTGAAAAAAACAACCTATTGCCACTTAGGATAAACGTCATGAGAAAATATTAATAACGATAATACCATGTGGCGGCCATTTTGAATTTATGCAAATTAGATCAATTCCCATGCTGGGATTTTCTGGGACTTTTAGTATGTTTATCTGGGGAGCATTCCAAAATGCATGGTTGAGAAAAAAATTCTGTTGCAATTTGTGACGGGTATATCAGTATATTGCTTGGACTATAACATTAAGAGCAAATCTGCGATAAGTAAAAATTCTTTAGTCTGCCCTCAAGGTTTTAAGTTTTCAGTAGTTATGTCTCCGTCCGTTTCGATAGAAAACAGTGGTTTAAATTTAATCCTACAATTCGTTATTATCTATTATCTATTATTATTATTATTATTATTATTATTGTTATTATTATCATCATTATTATCATTATCACTATCATTATCTTTATCGTTATCAAAATTATTTTTATCATTATTATCATTATCATGTTATTACTATTATTATTATTCTTGTCATTATTACTATTGTCGTTATTATTATCATCATTATTATCATAATCGTTATTACTATTATCTTTATCATTAATACTACTATAACTATCACTATCATCATTATTGTTATTGAATTTAATATCATTATTATTATCATTATCATTATTGCTATTATTATTCTTATCATTACTATTATCATTATCATTATTATTACCATTATTATAATTATCTTCATTATCATCATTTCTATAATCATCATCATCATTATTGTAATCATCATCATTGCTATTACTATTATAACAATTACTGTCATTAGGATTACTGTTGTTGTTAGTGTTAGTATTATTATTTTTATAACAGTAATAATAATAAACATTCATTCATTGTTGTTGTTAGTTTTCCTATTATCATTATTATTATTACTACTACTGTTATTATTATTAGTAGTATTAGTATTATTATCAGTATTGTTATCATTATAACAATAATAATAACCATCATGATTATTGTTATTGATTTTATTATTACTATTATTACAATTATTACCATTATCGATACTGTTATTATTCTTGATATTTTTGTTATTGTTGTTATCAGGATCATTACTATTATTATATTATGGTAGAATGCATTTTGAGATTTTATTATTTTCTGAATATCTCAGAAAATTAGAAATAGAGAGGAAAGAAAATAGATTGAGACTGATAGATGGATAGATAGGTGTATTAAGAGATTAACGAATATATACAGAGTGGCATAGATTGATAGGCCGTTGGATATGTAGATATATAGTGAATAAATACAATAATTCGATAGCTAGAGAAATGAATATATAGATAGATAGATGGAGAAATTGATAGATAGATGGAGAAATTGATAGATAGATGGATAGGCATATGGATAAATGGTTGTATAGTTAGATAGGGATACGGGGAAATAGATAGATGGATAACATGAAAGAGAGAGAGAGAAATAAAGAAAGATAATGAGAAAGAGAGAGTATAGGGACAGTTCGTATTAACATGTAACATCAATAAGTATGCTTCAAACTACATGCCTATAACCCTGTAATGACTTGCACGTTAAGCTATGACGACAAAACGTTTTTTTTCTTTTTTTACATATAGCTTTACTTTCGAATTTTATCACCATCCTTAAAAAGAAAGAAAGAAGGGACCCAAATAAAAGAGAAAACACAAGAAATAGCGATATGAGCATAGCCCGGGCGAAAAAAAAAGGAAGATAAGCAGCCGATTCTAAAATTCGACAGGATTCTCAACCGAACTTTTACCAAAACGTGATGTCTTATTGTGTTTTAACGGGGTCGAGGATCTTTCCGTTTTCTTCCTAAAAATACACGAACTGGTATTTCCATGGATCTTCGCTGCCAAACGCACGACGCGAAATATGTACAGGGTGTAGTTGGACGATATGTCTTTTGTTATTATTATTTTCACTTTCTTTTGTATTGGAAGCTGTAGAGGGAGGAAATGTGATTTCCATTTGCTTAATGATGTTAAAATGGGGATAGCTAAAACTGATGTCTTCATTCTATATTATTAAATTGAATTCTACTTAACACTGTGCATGGAAGTTTCTTTTGGACACAAAAAGTGTTTGTAAGAGGTCCTATTATGAAATTATTAATTACCCTAATGACGGTAATCTGAATGAAAGGCAACTGTAAATGTAGGCGAGGGAGATATGGCAACACTAGACACATACCGGACCCTGACTCTCTCATTTCTCAGTCAGTGTCTAGCAAGACGTTGTGGGTATGAGCACACTTCCTTGGCGATCGCAGCAATTACGCTGAGGTTACGTTCTAGTTTTAAGAATGAAGCCATCTGACATCTTCGGTCTGCTGCACGTGAATCTGTGTTGGGCGCTCGCAGTTTGTGTTTCATTTTCACGCGGGGAGGAGGCCGTCGCGAATCCACTGCTGGGTTCCTTGGCATGCAGTCAAGAGGAAACGCATACATGCAGGCAAGGAAATGCTACCTTGGATCTGAGTATCAGAGGATGCTTGTGTGACTATCTCTGTGGCGAGTATGGAGACTGCTGCTACGACGCGAGAAATGACGCCGATCTCGGAACCACATCTGAGGGCGGGAGGAACCGCTGTGTCCCCATTAGCAGCGACACGGGACAATACATGCGAGCATCCTGCCCCTCCGGCTGGGTCGACGAGGAGGTCGCGGCGCTGTGTCGGGCAGCTTCACCGGAACAAATGTCCTTCCAAGAAGACCCTCTGCTTCACGTGCCGGTCACCAGCGGAACGACCAACGTGACGTACGCGAACTACCAATGCGCAATGTGCCATGGCGATACTCAGGACGTCGCCTTTTGGAGGGTCAGTTTGCAGTGCCCCTTACTGGCAAGAGACAGCGACGTTGACGAAGATAATCTAGTGTTTCGAGAGGGTCAGTGGGGAGTGATCGTGAATGACAGTGAGCAAGCAGTGGTGCACAAATGTGATCTGACAATAGCCTACGGAATTTTTTGGAATTCTGGGAGAAAGTGCAGACTTGTTGTGGACAAGTGCATGCAAGACTGGGACGATGAGACGATAGAAAAACTTTGCCATTCATACACATCTCACGTAAGGATAAATGAGAAATTTTACAAGAATAACTTTTGCGCTATTTGCAACAATGTGTCCAGTACCAATGAAGAATGTGACTTATCCTATCGCACTTATGCTGCGGAAGAGGATGACGTAATCATTGGTGTAAGGTTCGGTTTTCTGCCTCCGCCTCGACCTTTTACAGTGCTGATAGACTTCACGTGCGGAAACGGTAACAACGAGGTAGGAGAAAGCTGTGTCTTTAATCCGTTCTCCAAGAAGTACTTAAATCTAAGTGAAGCTTCCGTCAAAGAGAACCTGATTCATCCAGTCACAGCAGACAATGCCACTGCCCCTTCTCGTAGCGACAGAACCTGTAGAAACGAGACGTTTCTCAAGGACGAGTATACTATGGTCAACGGAACTGTGGTCGTAAACCTGTCTAATCGTACTTACTATCAAGGGGAGTACGAGGTTGTGGACGAAGGGGTTTCGGTGTGCTCCGTGGAGTCCGACAAGTACTCGCCTGCCATGGGGTGGGTGACGCTGGCTGGGCTGAGCGCGTCCTCCCTGTGCCTCGTGCTGCACTTGGTCGCCTTCGCTCTCGTGCCTCACCTCAGGAACCTTCACGGCAAGAACGTGGCATCTCTTTCCGCGTCGCTCCTCGGGGCCTACGTCACGTTCATCCTCAGCGTTTTCGCCGAGACGTCGACCACGGAATGCTACGTGTTCGCGGTTCTCATCTATTACTTGTTTCTCACGTCGTTCTCGTGGATGAACGTGTTGGGCTTCGACGTGTTTTACACGTTCATGCGAACCAGGCTGAGGTCCGGAGACCAGTGGAAGAGGTTCTTGGTGTATTGTGCCTACGGCTGGCTGCTGCCCGCCTTCGCCGTGGCTGCGGTGGTAGCGCTCGACCAGACGAGGCCCTCCGCCTTCCCCCCGGAATTCCTTCCGAGTCTTGGCCAGCAGCTGTGTTGGTTCGGGCGACGTAAGGCCTTGCTGGCGTTCTTCGGCGCCCCCCTGTTCGCCTGCATCGCCATCAACGTGGCTTTGTTCGTCGCCACGACAGCCACCATCGCCAAGACGAGGCAGTCGGAGGTGCGGAGGACCTCCACGAGCGACCCGAAGAAGGAGTTCCTCCTGTACCTTCGCCTGGCCGTCCTGATGGGGATCACGTGGATCACTTCAGTGTTGGCTTCGGTCCTGCAGCAGGAAGTACTGTGGTACGTCTTCATCGTCTTGAACACTCTGCAGGGCCTCTTCATCTTCCTGGCCTTCACCTGCAGGACCAAGGTGTGGGAGGCCATCGTGCAGCCTTGCCAAGCGGTCCCCTCCGTCAGCTGCTGCACAAGGCAACAGTCAGAACGTCAGTCGAGTGATCAGAGCGAAATGTCCTCCAGCTCGACCACGACTAAGATGACTCCCGCCGATTCAGATTTGTCCATTCATTCCTCAAACACAGTGTCAACGCTCAAGTTTTCGACGATCAGTGCAGTTTGAAATAGAAATATTTTTATGTAAATAGTTTTTGTTCACATGTATATAGTTAGATTATGATGCTCAAGTTGATTTATATATATATATATATATATATATATATATATATATATATATATATATATATAATTTTTCGTACAAGGTAATAACCAATTATACGAAACGTACAAGTAGTTATATGCTCACACTTTAGAAAAAGAACACTTTGTTACCAAAAACTGATGTATATTCCTTAGAAAAAAAAGAGAGAAATTTCAATGTCGCCAAGAAAGTGATCGACGTGACGAGCAGCTTCTTAAGGACATAGGAAACGACGTAACAAGAAAACAAAAATTTAGTTTCGTGAAGCATACAGCTCACACTTAACTATTACTGCAGAAACGATAACTCAAAATACGCTTTAGACGGCACAGCACCACGAATGAAAACTTTTAGCCAATATCATTGTATATTACTCTAAAAATAATTTATATTTTTTCATAAATAAACATTTATTGAAAAAGGTATTTCATTTTCATCTTCGTTGTTCATGGATAAGAATAATGATAATGATTATAAATTTTATGCATAATAATGGGTAATATGAGATGAGTATAATGGAACAGAATAATGAATTATTTATGTATAATAACGGTTAATGTATGATAAGAATAATGAATAAGAATTATAATTAATAATCGGTATAAATAATACATAATGCATGATAACACATAAAAGGAATGGGTATTGATTATGAATTATGAATATGAATAATGTATAAAACATAAGTATAATGGACATAAATCAATTTATTGGCCTCAGCAGAGTGGATATAAAGAATGCGTAATAATTAAGATAAATATGTATAACGTATATTAAGTATAATGAATATGATTAACAATGAGAGGTGGATAAGGTTTGATCTCTAAAAAAGCATGACAGAAGAAGACCGGGAAGGAGAGGGGATGTAAAGATAAGGGATATGGGGAGGAAGAGAAGGAGGAGGAGGAGGAAGAAGAAAAGGAGGAGGAGGAGGAGGAAGAGTTGAAGAAGAATGGGGTTTATGGGAGACAGTGAAGGTAGGAAGAGGGAGAGGAAGGAGGCATAGGGAGGTAGTGGTTGAGAAAGGGGGGAGGGACAGAGAGGGTTGTATGTGTGCCTATGGTGTACGTTCGTGAGATTTGTTGTTAACGTTTATTTTCCTGCACCGAGAAGGCGACTTCGTTCGGAGGTCATTCGCTTTCCTGTTAGTTTTATCGTCAAATCAGATGCTCATTTCTTCACACATGTGGATTCACATCATTCACATAAAGACCCAAAAGGGCATAGACTAAACGATTGTAAGAAGAAAATCCTATACATTCATATGCCTATCCCCACAGAATGGGTAGAGTGGGCAAGCACCCTCCCGACAAAGAGAAAATGCATGGCCGCAGAGCTCTCTCTCTCTCCTCTCATTCTTGCTCTCTCTCTGTTTCTCTCTCTCTCTCTCTTTCTCTTTCTCTCTCTCCCCCCCCCCCCTCTCTCTCTCTAACTCTCTCTGTCACACACACTCTCTCTCTATATCT